GACAATGGAGAATTGAAGTAGTCATTGAGAATAGTATAAATAGTATAATTAACATGGAATCACATTATTGATACATATAACTATCCTCTACAATGGTGGATAATGAATATTCACTAAATTCATCTGTTTAACTTATTCTTATAGCAAAATTTCTCTAATTTTTAAGACTATATCTATTTAGAATGAATAAAATCAGACACATTTGACAAAATAATTTAAAATTTTAAGTCAAACAATTTTGTTCAGTGATATGCAGAAAATGTATGAAAACACTAGTGTGACTATTTATTTAATAACCATCCTTTTGAGTTTAAATCTAGGAAGAAAATTAAGTTACTCAAGCACAATCAATTTCCAATAAAAATTTATGTCCCTAACAATAAAGAATAGGGTTAATTACATTTACCTCCCTTGAGGTTTGTTTATATTACCATATAAACCTTATAATTTGATCAAATTACAATTGCCCCCATCAGTAATGATCCTTAAGCTCTGCTAACAGATGCGATGAATTGACAAAAAGTCCTTGTTCAAAAGATTTTAGAAGTACCAGTGCTTTTAGCCCAAAAAATAAAAAAGAAAGGATAACAGAGAAAGCTCCACTTAGGTCCCCAAATGCCAACTTTTCATTACTGACTTTCAAAATTTTTCTTCTCCTTGACCACTTGCTTCCTCTATCTCTTTGTCATTCATTCTTTTTTATCTCACCTCAATCTAAGTATCAGGAACAACAACAGTCACTAAGCCTTCTCTTTCTTTACCACTGGGGCCAAAAAAAAAAACCTTCCTTCTCTTCATAATTGTTTCCTTTAGAACCCTTGCCTCTCTCATCAACTAGATTTGATTTGGAGCTTGACATACATGATTTACATCTTCCAAGCTATTCTATTCCTTTATGTAGGAGATATTTAAAATTGTTAGGCCAATTTGAAACACAACAAACTTCAAGAAATTCCTTGCCTCCTAGAAAGCTAGGCCATTCATACTGAATCTTTTAAGTATCAACAAGTGACTGGGCAAGGAAGAAACTTTTCTTGGAGAATCGGGTTTCATTTTTCTTTTTAGCTGTTCAATGATAATTGAATTTTATAGTGTGAAAAGTAGGTCCAATTAATAGATACGATTTATCTTAAATGAAAATTTTGATAGTTTAAGCAATCATGGCTTGTCAGCAATGAGATTTGGGAATTCTTGTTTGGAAGGAAAGACAAGCGGAAGTCATCAAGTACGATCATTTACTTGAGGGTATTTTGGAACATTCAATTGTTTTTTTTTTTTTTCGTTAACCTAGTCAACATTCACACGGTCAATGAAGATTGACTAAATGCAAGGACTTACTTGTTAAGGATTTGTTGATTTTGAGGGTCATTTGGTAGTATGGCCAAACCTCAAGGCCTGATCGGTAGTTTGATCAAACCAAAGGGTGGTATATGCAATTAACCCTAAAGAATAATAATCCAAAATTTTAAATTAAATGCTACAGGAGCATGGACCTTATGTCGGTGTCTTCCCAAGAAAAAAGACTTTAGGTCGGTGAAAGAATTACTGCTGATATATAAAGTGGAGCTCGAATGAGGAAACTGGGAAATCGTATTGCTTTTGGGAAGAGGGAAATTTCTACAAATTTGGATAAGTCCGAACGAGAGCACTGGTTTTTCTTCTGCTTTTAAGCGATTCAAGAATCTCAGATTTTTCTCTAGGGTTTCACTAACCATTCATTCTATGCTAATTACTTCTTTAATTTCATTATTATTCAAGAATTCGAAGCCCTGATTTGGATCGGGACGGCAAAATAAAGGAAAGCACTAAAATTCGAGCCCTAATTTCGGTTCGTCGCAATAACAACAAATAAAGAAATTGCCATTGATTTCGATTGTTAACTGGATGTTGACAATGGCAGATTCTGCTAATCAGCGTTGTGTTGTATTTGTCGGGAATTTACCTTTTCACGCCAGTGAAGAAGAGGTTACAAAAAAGTGCGAGGAAGTTGGCCCTGTTGTTTCTTTTCGATTAATGCGTGATAAAGAAACTGGGAAACGAAAGGGATATGGATTTTGTGAGTACAGGGATGAAGAGACAGCAACGAGTGCAATTCGAAATCTTAATGGGGAAGATTTGGGAGGAAGAAAATTACGAGTTAATTTTGCAGATAATGATAAAAATTATGACAGAAATCGGAAAAATAGGAGTAACAATAATAATCAGGATCAGTTTGGATTTGGAAGTGACCCTTTGACAGAATATTTGGCTAAAATTCCTAGGGAAAAATTGATTGAGATTGTGTCTGATATGAAGAAATTGGCCGCAGAAAATAAGGAGCAAGCTCGTCAGCTTTTACATGCATGCCCTGCTTTGCCTAAAGCTATTTACCAAGTACAGGTGATGCTAGGAATTGTACCTCCTCAAATGGTGCAGATGCAGTTGCCAAACTCTGCTGCTGCTGCAATTCCTCAATTTGCTGCAGAAAGTAAAGGTTTGGATCAGTCCCAATTGCGTGTGGAGTCAATAGACTCTACACAATCTGGAACCAGTTTCTTGAATGATGATCATCCCTCCAAATGCGTAAAGTTGAACGATGGAAGGGCTGTATCTTCCTCCAGAGACGAAGGCTCTCAGGACAGTTTGTTGAATAATGTTCGTCCATTAGAGAGTGCAAAACTAAGTGGTGGAATGGCTGCATCTTCATCCACAGACGGAGGAGGATCAGCCTGTGATAGCATAGTTGGTAAGTTGCACTTTTCAGCCGAGGAAGAATCTTATCTGTTGCAGCAAGTGAAGAATCTTACGCCTGAGCAAATTAGTTCGCTGCCTCCTGAACAGCAACAACAGGTGATTCAACTCCAGCAAATGCTAATTCAGCAGACGTACTCGGCGGCCTAATATTGATGCACAAACGGCCGTTTTTTTCCCTTCCCTGCTTGATCCTTCCTGAAGGGGCATAGTCTTTCTTGAATCTGTTTGAAATTGTAAAATTTATTGTGTATTGATGAATTGGGATAATCTTTCTGAAGCATGAAAGTCCTGAAATTGATGTAATCATTGACAAAATTAGACAGCAAAAATTATGGTTTTTTTCAGTTCTGCATCCTTCTCTTCTGCTGTAGCTTCTTTCCAATATATATGAATACATATTTCCGTTGCATTTATAACTAACTGTCTTTTCTGGTTTGATTGTTTCTCTCATGTCTTCCAAATTCCTATCCCTTCAAATTATCCCAATTATTCATAACCAACAAGAATGATCTATTCCTTTCAATTACATTTTCACGATTGGATGCCTGATTCTTTTTTTTTTTTTTTTTTGAGTCAATGGTGGAATTGATATAGATATTGGAAGAGTCTGAAGTATGGCCTTCTTTTATATAAAAATATAACATATCTTTTAAAGCATTGAGGGAATACATAGAACTATTGTTAAGGGCAGACCCAATGTGTGTGTAATTTAAAAATAATTAAATTAATTAATTTATACCAATTTTGTTCTTTACATAAATAAAATTGATATAAATTTTTCATTAAAGAACTTTGGTTTATAATGTTACAGTAATTTGGTAGTTAGATTTGGGTTTGTTATGAGTAGTTATAATGGTAACTAGAGATTTTCTGGCTGTGCAAGGCACAGCCAATGCCCAATATATAGTGTCAAAAATATTGAGAAATTTGCTGGTATTCTCATTTCTTTAAAGAATGACATGTAAATTCTTGGCAAGTTTTATGTAGTGTCTATGCAAATGCGTAACTCGGAGAAATGAGCGCATATGCAATATGAAAAATAAACATGAATGAAGAAGACAATAAACTCAAGTTAATTAACTCACAGCACACAATGTTTCTTTCATGCAGAAAGATACACACTCACGTATGATTCCAGATTTTTACAATAATTTGTACAGCTCGATCACATACAATTCCACAGTTTTACAATAATTTGTACAGCTTGCAGAAGAATTATGACCAAAAAAAATTCAAATCTTTGGCTAATTCAAGCATGTTGGACTTTGAATTACCAAATATTGATAATAAAGATATCTAGACAACACCAAAACAAAATTAACTGAATCGCAGAACAATAGTGCGTAACTTTACAAACACTTTGAAATTCCTTGCAGCCCAAATGTTTGATGGCAAGATGTGACGTTCATTGCAGCCCCAAATGGCACCATGCGAATAATAGCTTTCGTACAGCACTTTGAAATTCGTTCATAGAGTCCTAACAATGTGAGGATTGATATTAAAAAGGTCATCTTTAGTCATTGCTAGTTTCCTATGAACTCGAACAGGAATGATTAGAAGGTCGATGCTAGTGAGGGCATCCTGCAATTTCCCTTTCTTTACAAAACCATGCAGCTAGAAATGTAAACCATAGATAATCAGTATATGCGAAATTCAATAATTTAGAACATAAGAATTTATATAGCACAAAAAGGGACATCTCAATTTTCACTCATTGAATTTCATTTTATCAAATTCCTGATCCCTGGATTTACCAACAAAGTTAAGGTAAAGTGAAGTAAGATGAGATAATGCTATGATGCTGCAGTCTTTTCGTTGACCTTAAGGCCAATTATGTGAAGAAAAGCTTACTGATAGGTTGTGTCCTCTGATAGAAGCAGCAACTTTGATTGCAGCAAGTAGGTGATCTTCCTTGATCATACTCGTTTGCTTCTAGTACATATAAATCTATTGATTAGCCAACCTCACCATAATCGTATAAAGCATACGTTCAATTAATAAGTGAGATCAAACGAACCTACAACTGAAAAAATTATGAATAATAGATGAAATATAACAAAACTTAAGCACAAACATTATAGCGTGTAGTCAAGGAAGAGGAGAAAGTGACCTGAAATTGAAGCAATTCCTTAGTGCAAATCTGTGAACCCCAAATAAAAGGCTTTTCTGCACCAACACTTTCAACTTGTAATTAAATGAGTGCAATAAAGTAGATATATGGAGAAACATATGTAAATTTTTAACTTATATGAAAAGTAAACCGCTCATTTGGAACGTATAGAAGTACTGCACATATTATTGATTGCTAGAGAAGCTTATATGACATATGAGTATTAGAATGCACTACTCTATCAAAAGATATTGGAGCAATGGATTCTAATACTGCATTTTCAGCTTGACAAAGTCATGAACCTAGGCTTTACAGGTTTATGGTTCTGGTAATAGGAGTTGTTAGCAGGTGAGGGAGGAGGTACTAATTCTAAGTATTAGAATGCATTGCTCTATCAAAAAATATTGGAGCAATGGATTCTAAAACTACAATTTAGGCATGATAGACCTGCTAAGTTCTTCTCTAGCAATATCAAAAGGTTTTAGTAAGGGTTGGGGAGTGTTCAATTCCCTTTTCCTTCCTGTTTTGGTTTCTTTGTTGGGCTGGCAGCAGTTTCGTCGATTGGGGTGGTATTTGGTGAAGCTGAGGTAGCAGTGTCTCCAAGCAGTTTGTGGCTGGTTGTTGCAGCAGTTGTTCATTTAGTGATGAAGCTTTTTTTAGTAGCAGTGGATTCGGCTATTTCTTGAAGGAGCAACTTGGCTGTTGGTGTGAACGTTTGTTGTTCTATGACTTGTTTTTGCTTGGTGTTTGATGTTGTTCTAGTTTCTGAAGCTTGGAGAGTTGGTGGTGAATCTAATAGAGCCAATGATATGTTGGGGACTTCAGCTGTTGGGTAGGCTTTGATGATTGCATTTCTTCTTTGAAGTTGTCCTTGAAAAGTTGTCTCATATGTTTTGATAAAACAGATCAACCTGTACTTTTTCATGATGGCAGAGAGTTCTTGGTTCATTGTTATTCCCTGAAATGATAAGCATCAATGTGAGTGTTTATATATTAGTATTTCTGTATATAAATGTTGAACGAAAACTTGAAAGTTAGGTGTGCTGATGTACATGTGCCTCTGCATCCTTAAGCTGCGCAGCAGTCAATTGTATCAGTCTTTCAGCTTCTTTTCCAGATATTAAGCATTGAATGCTTGCAGTTGGATCGGTCACTGTTATTCCAATGCGACACCTTATGTGCAATGTCCGAGTTTTAGTTTATTGTACAATGTATAGTATAAAAGAGTTAATTTTAAACAGGCTAGATGAGAAACAATACCTTAGTTCCACTTTGGCTTCTTGTCTGCATGATGAACATTTTATGATCCAATCTGTATCTGCTTCTGGAGCTTATAAGCATAATACTCTCGCACGGAAACAAAATCTGGATCTTCTTGAAAGCTACTCATTACTGTGTAAAGTGAGAAGAAAATTTTTTATTAGTTGATATTTTTGTGAAATTTTACATTAAAGAGTGCTGATTAATAAACTTGTATTTACTTACCAGCCTCTTCATTCTCAAGTAATTCATCTACATTAGAGACATTGATGGGGCAAATAGATTCGGTTGTAAGTTTTTTTTTTCTCAATCTCTTAGTTTGTGCCTTTATTCCCTTTTTCGGAATGCCTTGGTGCCATCCTAGATCACCAAAAGGAAACATTAGTGGGTATTGAAGTGGATCATAACATCCATAATAATATTGAATATTTTTTGAGGTCCCACTATGAGTGTGCACTCTAATGTCTCGCTTTCCTGTTTGACAATTGTCTTCACCTTCAATCCACAAAGCTGCTACTTGTGAGCTTGTAGGTTTATTATAGACTCTCTGGTCTAGACCAGGAATGCTCTTCAGGACAATGTGATAATTATCAAGATTAGGCACTCCACTTAAAGTTCGAAAAAATTTAGCGTATGGATTGTTTTCCAACACGCACATGAGTTTCTTAACTAAAGTTTCTGATAACCTGGGGCAAGATGCTATTCGATTGGCTAACTCAATTTCAGGATCATGAAAATATAATTGAAGGTTTTCGCCATGATCATTGGCTGAGTTTAAGTTGTTTAAAAAATGATAAATTTGCCCTTGAATTCTAAATGTATAGATTCCTTTATTTCTTCTACAGAGTTTCTTGTCATATTTAACACCAAAAGAGGTGACACCAAAGTGGTTGTTATAAGTTCTAATCATAGTTCTAAAGGTTTTTGCTTCTTCTGAAGTTGAAGTTAAGAGCTCTTTTAGAACATTAGGGAGTTTATTTTGAGAGAGAACTACTTCACCGCTGGAACAACAGAAATTCATTGTCTCAGAATAGAATTTCTTTGCTCCGCAATGCTGACACTGCGGCTCCAATGGTAACCTATCAGGGTAATCAGGTATGAACCTTAGCAAATCTCTTCCACTCGGATGCATCTTACCTATAATGTGATTTGCATTCATTGATTAGTAATTCTAAAATCTTGCAAATTTTTGTATCCTAAAATTGAAGAGAAGTGAGTATAAAGCTGAATGGTTATTATTGGAGGATTTCTTTGATGATCGAATCAATGATTTTTCAGAAGAATTATTGATAGTGTTTATTTCATATTGACTGTATTAAAGATGGTCTGAAAGTTTTTATGAATTTAGAAAAGATGGTTTGAAAAGGTGTTTTAAACCTTTTTTTGTATAAAAAAATTTATAAAAGAAAGTGGAAATAGACAAATCTCAGATAGAGAATTCATTACCTTTTTGGGTTAGTGATTGTACATCGGATTGTAATGCAGAGTTGGTAGCAGCTGTGCAATTCTCAATCCTTTCCAATCTCAGAGCTGGTACATGTTGGATTTTAGTGCAACCATGTCTACGTAATTTCTTAGATTTCCACTTTATGTATGCTTGTCTTCTATAATTCTTTTTCTCGAAGCATTTTTCTTCAAGATCATATGCAGAAGGATGAGAAAGAATAGCAGAGAGAGGTAGTACTGAGGAAGTTGGTTGAGAAGTGGAAACATTTGCTGTTCCACTTATACCACGAAGTCGAGTGACTGTGAGATTATAGTTCTCATTAAAGCTGTCTTGATAAGAAGATGTTCTATTTGAGCTTGATCTAAGATCAATATCATTAGGTTGAGGGCAGCTCTTGATATGAGAAGTATGGATTTCAGGGATACATGTAAAATTGATGGAAGGCGAACTGTGAGAGTGAGCATAAACCTCGTCAATATTAGAGGTTAATAGGAGCTGGTTATGATTTGATTGATTTAAGGTCCTTAAATGAGAACTATCTAATCCATGCATAGATGCGACATTGGAAGAGGATAAATGTTTAGAAACAGGGACAACTTCATTAGTATAATTCTCATGATCCTTCCTAATGATGTTACTATTTGGGTCTGTCATAAAGTGGAAGGTGGGACGAATTAGATGAGCGTTATTTCCTGAGGTCTGAATATTGACATATGTAGTATCAGAATGCATATGGATTGGATTAGCAGGATGAGCCTGAGAAAATGGGAGGTTTGTTGATAGCTCTTCAGATTGTTCTATTGTATGAGAGCTATTTGCGTTCCTTTTTAATGAAACCTCAGCATTGTAACATTCATTGAGCCACTCATCTACTAAACTAAAGGGTTTATTTACATTCCTTTTTCTTTTCATTTTAATGAAAGTAGGAGTAATAAAATGTCACTAATGATAGCTAATGAAGAGAGTAAAGCTAACTTCTATACATATGAAATCCAAACTGTTAGATACAAGCAGCTGACCAAGAGATACAAACATGAGATTAATTGTTTCAGACCGTCATATTCAACGAATTAGAGTGATTAAATAGTAAGAGGCAAAATCTGAGAAAGAAAAATCATATCAGCATAGAGATTCAGTTATGATATTCTCCAGGGTGTAGTCAAGCAGAACAAAACTTAAGCACGAAAATTGTAAGATGTAGTGAAGGAATAGAAGGAATAACCTTGAATTGAAGCAATTCCTTAATATGAATCTGCCAACCCCAAACCAAAGCTTCTTTAGCACCGACTCTTTTAAATCGTAACTAAACCCCTGAAAAAGGTTGGCAACCAAAATAAATTGTACAAGAAAGGCATCAATGTAAAACTATACAAATTATCCAATATGTTTAAACTATACTCAGATGAGAAAAAATTAGACAGAGGCGAAAATATAATTAGGCACACTTTAAATGAATGTGAATCTGTTAAGGAGAAAAGTAGCTGAAATATTAAGAAATACCACCCACCTACACCTACCCTCAAGCTTGTATCTGAGGATTTCGAATATTATATTAGAAGCTGAACAACAACAAGCACAAGAATTTAATCCAATTAGAGGAATGATAGACACACTAACTATTAATTTTTCTAATAAACCTGATACAATGAATCTAATCCAATTTTTGTGCCTGTATAGTATAGGTGTTTCCGTTTGTTTTTGACCACCAAGAATTCTTTTTGTTGTTGGAATCCTTTTTGTAATAAAAATTTGTAATTTATTAGTAACTTTTTCTTTAAAAACAGCTATAGTTTATTTGGTAGTTATAATATTTAAGAGTGTTATGGGAGATTATGTTAGCAAATCTGATTAGAAGAATAAAAATTAATTTTTAAGGACAAAATTAAAAATTCATAAAATGACACAATATTTATTCCAACTACCACCTCTCTCCATTTCCTATACATATATAAAAAGCAGTTATAGGAAGTTAGAAAGCCAAATATATATTACGTACATAGAAAGCTAAAGTCCAACTTGCATATATATATGATTATGCATGTCCGCCTATTCCACAACTTCTGTCCGTCTCACTCACTGCCGTGTCCAACTTGCAAATCCACGACTTTAGACCCCAAAAACATGGATACAAGTAATTACCAAGTATCAGACCATTCCTTTGCTCTATCAACAACCAAAATCTATTTCACCTACACAACCTTCTATCCCATCCTATCCACCACTCAAAAATACCATATTCGTTGAATTGGAGGAAAAAAAATAGGAGAACTTACAATCTATGGACTTGATACTCGCAAGGGAACTTAAAAGTGATAACAAAAAAAGTAAGGGAAAAAAAATTCAGTCGACAAGTAATAACTGAAAGCAAACGAACTTACAACTGAAATCTGTGAACGCTAAATCAGAAGCTCTTCTGCACCAATTCTTTCAAAGTGCAATTAAACCCCTGAAGAAATTTGGCAACGAAAATAGAAAGTATATAGATTATCCAATCTCTTCAAGACTGGTGGGGAAAACTATTAGGCACAGAATATGAGTAGTTACCTTTACTCGGAGATGTTACAGAGCAAAAGGAGGAAGAAGCGTTGATTTTTTTTGTGAGCAGTGTTTGTGTTCCTAATGTATATAAAGACACAAAATTGATGAGTTGTTAGAGATTTTTCTTCTCACTTTCGATAATTTGTGAACTGGCAAATGAAAAGGAAGGCAAAAGGACAGACCCTATATCTCTAATAATAGGTGGAAATCATAGCTCATACCTGACTCTTTGTGGAATAATCGCATAGTTGGGATATGGATGAGCAGCCACAATTGACTCTTTCTGGAACAATAGCACGATTGGGATATGGATGAGCGGCCATATTTTGGGGGAAAAGATGGTCAAATTATTGACCAGGTGTTGGAGCAGATAAGTTGGTACTTTTGTTTGTCCGATCCAGGAAGAAAACAAAAGAGAAACAAAGGAATGGAAACAGAGAGGGAGGGACGAAGGAGAAAAGGTAGAGCTTAACATGAAAAGAAAATGAAATCTGCAAATATGCTTCTTCTGAAGCAAAAAGAAAACGAAACGGAAAGAACGGGAAAGAGAGGGCAAGAATGCTAGGGAAAAAGTCAAAAACACTTCTAAACAATTGGCTACTGATGGAAGAATTGAAGTTGTACTTTTCTTCGTTGAACCAGCAAGAAAAAAAAGGAGAAATAAAGAAACGGGAAACAGAGAGAAAGAAACGAAGAAGAAAACAAAGATGATGGGCTAAAGTTGTAAAATGAAGTGCAATGAACATGAATTCCTTCCCTGCCATCGGTGCTAAAGTTGTTTGACTTTTTGGCTTCTTGTCTTTCATAATGGAGACAAAGAATAAGTGGAGAACAGAGCCAATGCCAACTACCGGTTTCTTTGGTCTAAGGAAAGAGGGGAAGAGACGTGAAAGACTGAGAAGTAAAAGCAAAAGAATATGCGCGGAAGAGACGTGAAAGACTGAGAAGTAAAGCAAAAGAATATGCGCAAAAAGTCAGACATAACCCTCAATAGTTTGTTACTGTTTTGTGGCTAGTTATTTTTCTTTGGGCAAGATAGTAATTTCATGTAAAAAGGCCAAAATGCCCTCAACAGTGATATACTATTAGCGGAAGTAGTAAACATTCCCAGGACATAAAAGGAAGAAAAATTTTCTCCCTCCTCTAATGCCGCCAGGTGGATCAATGTGGGAGAAGAAGTCTTAGCTTTTTCTATATATGTAAGATATGGTTAGGTGATAACGAAAGAAAAATAAGTAATTACAACAAAGTAGGAATTTCTCAAGGACAAGAAATTAAAATAATGATGGCGTCAATCGGGTATAAAGTAAATGTTTGGAATAGATATACACTATCATTGTTTAGCAGTCTAACAACTGATCTTTCCTTCCCTTAGACGTACTAATTAGTTGTCCGTGTAATTCGAGAATGGAATTTAGCAACCGGACACTTGCAAAGGGCTAATTGCTCATATTATTGTTCCAAAAAAAAATCGCAAGTATAAGGCTCTGACAAGGTTGTGATACAAACTATGGCTGCCGACTTAGTCAATCCGTTGCAAAAAAAAAAAAAAATTTTTTTAATTACCCAGCAGCCCACATGCAAAAAAAAAAAAAAAGATGCTGCCGGCCTATCATGCAAAGCGAAAAAAAAGGACTACGGCAATGTGTCATATATTGGAGGCTTACAAACTCCATGATTACTTGTTTTGCATCCATTATTACTCTTGGCGCATTCTAGTCTGATATTGATATCTAAATAATCCAAAATTGTAACCAAATGCCTGGCAATTGAAAACCTTTTGATTTTTTTTTTTAAAAAAACTTTTGATATACAATGGTATATTAGCATAAATCATTTTTGCCCATTTAGCTACTGTACCGACCTTGTAATTTTTCCACAATAGCTGCACCACACTACGAAAATTGTTACGTTCAGTTATTATGCTCCTTATCATTATTATTAGAGTGAATGGCCCAAAAGGTCACTAAACTATTAAAAATGGCACCCTCTGGTCACTAAAGTTTTTTTGTGGCCGAAAAGGTCACTAAACTCGCAAAAACTCTCCAACGAAGTCATTTTACCAAATTTCAGCGGTTCCTCATCCGGTAACAGGGTCAATATGGAGTGGAGGAATATAGTAAATGGGCAAAAATGTCCGAAAGATTATTGGAATAGGTGAAGCCATAGATTGTCTCAATCCCAAACCCTTATTTCCGCAGGAAGGCCCGTAATGGCGACCTCCAACACTACCCTCCTACCGCCACTTTCTCCACCGTCCTCCGACTCACATTCCGACTCCGGCACCAGTTCCCGCCAGCACCAACACACTGACCTCTCCTCCACCATCTTTAAATCCTACCTAGAACTCACCGGTCACCAATCCTCCCCTCAACATCAAGACCTGATAAAGATCCAATCGTTCCTTACTTCCTCTCGCTCTGGGGCTCTCTCATGCCTCATATGCCTTGAACGGATCAAACCCACCGATCCCACCTGGTCCTGCTCCTCCCGCTGCTTCGCAGTCTTCCACCTCCTCTGTATCCAATCCTGGGCCCACCAATCCTCAAATCTTGCAGCTGCACGGGCTGCCTCACGCGCCGCCACTCTTAACGATGACACCCTCCGCTGGCATTGCCCCAAATGCCGGATCGAGTATCCCAAATCGCAGACCCCCAAGTATTACTATTGTTTTTGTGGAAAACTCGAAAACCCACCTCATGATCCCTGGATTTTACCTCATTCTTGTGGAGAAATCTGTGGTAGGCCGTTGACATACAATTGTGGGCACGAATGCTTGTTGTTGTGTCACCCAGGGCCCTGCCCCTCGTGCCCGAAATTGGTTAAAACCAAGTGTTATTGTGGGGCTAAAGAGGACGTGAGACGTTGCGGGTTTAAGGATTTTTCTTGTAAAGGCGTTTGTAGAAAGACATTAGCTTGTGGAAGCCATAGGTGTGGTGAAATTTGCCATGATGGTGACTGTCCGATGTGTCGCAAAAAAGGGGTTTATAAGTGCCAATGCGGGAAGGTGGAGCTGGAAAGAGAGTGTTGTGAGAGGATTTTTAGGTGTGAAAATCCATGCCAGAAGTTGCTTGGCTGTGGGAGGCATGTTTGTGAGAGAGGGTGTCATAAAGGTAATTGTGGTGAGTGTCCACTCCAGGGGAAGAGGACTTGTCCTTGTGGAAAGAGAGTGTATGAAGGGATGGCTTGTGATGTTGTTGTGCCTCTCTGTGGAGCAACTTGTGATAAGCTGTTGAGCTGTGGATTCCATAGGTGCCCAGAAAGATGTCATCGCGGGCCTTGCATTGAGACTTGCAGGACAGTTGTAACCAAGTCCTCCAGGTGTGGAAGCGCAAGGAAACAGGTAATTCTTAAAGTGATTGGTAAAATGAGATAAATTCTTTTATCAACGAAGTTGGGATTGAGATTGGTAAATTGATTTTAGAGCAGATTCCTTGTTATCAAGATTCAACAAAGGAAAAAGGTTGACCATATTTTGTTTGACATTTTTGCCCCTTTACTATATTCCTCCACTCCATATTGACCCTGTTACCGGATGAGAAACCGCTGAAATTCGGTAAAATGACTTCGCTGGAGAGTTTTTGCGAGTTTAGTGACCTTTTCGGCCACAAAAAAAGTTTAGTGACCGGAGGGTGCCATTTTTAATAGTTTAATGACCTTTTGGACCATTCACTCTTATTATTATTTGTTAATTTTATCTTATCATTTTATTTTTTTTAATTTGTTAATTTGCTCACTTTTCAGCATTACTAATTTATGACAAGTTTTAACCTTTTTTCCTACCTTTCCAAAATGAAATTTTAAATTTACACATGAAAAAAATACTAGAGGTTCAAAAATTTGCATTAAGTTTATATGTTAACTTTTATAATATTTAGTTCAAATTTTTATATTCTTATTGTTTAGTTATTAAATAGTGTGTAATTTTGCAACATAGAGTATGGATGGAGAAAAATTAATAATTAAGTTTATTAAACATTATAAGTAAATATTTAAAACTAATGATGGATGTAAAGAATGATATAAATTGATAGCTTAGTTAACAAAAATGAATTTAAATGAGTTTGTAAAAATGAATTCATGCAAGTTGGTGGATTAACTTTGAACTAGGAGGCGATCACCGTGCTTGCGCACGGTGGTAAAGTGTAAATCTGCCCAGGATCAAACGCTAGATAACATTTGTTGTTATGTAATCAGTGTTCAAAAGTGTGCTGTGAAGTCATTTGTTATCGGATTAAATTAAGAGATCGTGTTAATGATCCATGGCATAGAAAAGAGCGGAAAGGGTATTATATAAAGTGTATTCGTGAATAAGGTTGATATTTGTAAGGTTAAGTTTAAAATAGCGAACTTCTATTTAAAGGGAAAATAAAGTAGCAAGGATTCTTGAGCAATCCTGTCTAGCCGAGAAGGAGTGCGCTTTCTTTGTCTGCTAGACCGGCTTGAAACAGCATCTGTAGGACCAATATTGATGTCATCAGGAACCGCAATAATTAGGTGGCTAAAAGAACAGACATCGATAAATTAGCACAAGAAACTAATGGACAACCTGTGCCGGACGAAACTGTAGATAACAAAGCACGCTCTATAGTTTCAGGAGCTAATGCTTCGCAAAGCTGGCTGGGGGTTGACGCCATACATGCCAAAGAATGATCCACAGGTTGAGAAGCTGGTGCTTCACGAAGCTGGCCAATGGAAGGAACAACAGCTTGACCATGCGAACACTGGCCAGAACAACGAGGAATAAGTACACTTGCTTCCACCTGGACCAAAGGTGCAGCCTGAGAGGTGGCAACAGGCTCAAGCACATGATCTAAAGCGGAAGGGAGCAGCTTTCTTCTCTTCGCAGCATAAGACTGCTGTCGTCGGCGCAAAAGATCATTCTTGTTATCCTGGGGCATTTCCCGGCAGCGCTTGCGACGCCTTACATTTCTATCCATGGAACTCGAGAGCGCTAAGCAAACAGTGGAAGCCACTTCAAAACACAATGTCCTTGAAAGAGAAGCAATGAGCTTCCCAACAAGGGAGGATATGAATCCACCAGTAAGGCATTAGTGAAAGAAGCAAACAAAAAGAGATAGCAAAGGAAGGAGGGGAAAGCAAGAGTAACAGCAACGTTCGGCTATCCAACAGTGCATGCATGGAATAATGTGCAAAGTACACACGGGTAGTGAATGGGTGGTGAATGGGTTTCAATGAAGGAATGAGCGGATCAAGTACAGAGGACACAAACGAAATATAAATAAAGGAAAAAGCCAGTAATGATGCAGGACACAACTAAATGCACGAGGATGAAGAGCTGCATCTTTCGCCCTTAATGATGCAGAACACAACTAAATGCGCGGAAGAGCAGCTAAACAGCAATAACCAGCACAAAACAGGAAAATAACAAACTACGCAGGGAACAGAATGGAATACAAACGAAAACAAGATACAAGAATAGAAAAAGGAGCGTAAAAAAAGAATAGAATAGGTACCTTCTTTGGGTAATAACAGAAAGAACAACGCCGAAGATGACGGCAACGGGAGGGAAAATGGACAGTATTACGGGCTAAATGAACGCAAGAGCAAAGAGAGTGCAAGTAAACAACGTACGCTGCAGAAGAGGAGACAAAGAAGATGGCGCACAGGTACAAAGAGATAAGGCCAGAGGTTGAATAATAATAAGGGCGAAAGATGCAGCTCTTCATCCTTGTGCAGAGAAAGAACCGCTAAGAATATATGAAAAGTAGAGAAGAAAATGCACGGGAAGGTAGCAAGAGAGATCTTGGAAATCAAAGGAATCATTAGGTTCCGCCGATAATACAGAGCATGCTAGCAGAATTTAATGCTAAATAAATATAATGATCATGTCCAAAGAGGGGATTCTAAAGAACCGCCGGAGAATCTTTAAGCCCAGAGGTTGTATAGGCAGGCCAGAGGTTGTAGAAGAAAATGCACGAGAAGCTAGCAAGAGAGGTCTTGGGAATCAAAAGAATCATTAGGTACTTCCGCCACTAATACAGAGCATGCCATCAGAATTTAATTCTAAAAAAGAATGATCGTGTCCAAAGAGGGGATTCCAAAGCACCGCTGGCTACAAGCAGTCCGTTGTTTATGTAGAGACTTAAGACTTAAAAGCGCAATCATGCTTCCTGAGTTCCAAAGCAAGGGAAAAAGTGGGCAGGGCGGTTGGGATTTAGAAAAAAGGCAAAATAATGAAAAGAAAAGGAAAAAAAAAACAGCAATACAACTCTTTCACACGTGAAACTCACATGGAGGACGACCAAACTATCGAACCATCTTCCCGGTTTATACTACATATTCTAATAAAGCTAGAACCGATGAATGGAGAATCCATAATCCATCCCACATATCATACCGGAAAGCAACTGCAGGAACCATCAAAATGGGGACCCATCATCTGCTATCCCCATTCCCCACATATCTTTCTTTTTTTGGGCTTTTGATGATGGCAGCCGACTGCTCGACACAGGCCGGCAGCCATCATATTTATAAGAAAAAGTTGCACGTGGCTGCCGGGCTGACAACCCAGAAATTTTTAAAAATTTTTTTTTTTAGTGCCAGGCTAAATCAGCCATAGTTTTGTACTATAACTCTGTCAGAACTTTATTCTTGAGATTTTTTTTTCGAACAATATTCTGAGCAATTAGCAATTACAATTTTGATTCCAAGTGTTTGAGGTATGAATGCTTTTAGTCATTAAAGTTTGGATCAAAACAAATGTAGTCTCAAATATTTTAGTTTTTATGCATATTTAGTCCCAATGACTTACTTTTACCGTTTACTATTGGAATTTGGTCATATGCTAGCAACTAATTTTCAAAAAAATAGAAAAACCTAATAAAAAAATTGCTAGCCATAATCTCTGTAATAAAGATGAGTAATTAGTCTTTTTGAAACAAAGTAATTAGTCTTTAACCTAAATTTTTGTTAATTGAATTTTTGTATTATTGGGCTAAAGACTAATAACAGGCGATCTACAGTGAATAATTAATTATCTTTTACTACAATTTATGGCCAACAACATTTAGTTCAAGTTTAAAATTCTTTTAAAAAAATTAATTACTGTTATGTAGTAGTATGTGATCGGATTGCAATAGCAATTGGTAAAAATTAGTCAATAAGATTAATGGGCAAAGATTGAAATATTTGGAACTACATGTACTTTCTTCCAAATTTAGGGATTAGAAATGCTTATGCTTCAAATATTTGAATCCAAAACTGCAATTTTTTCAATATACAAGAGAGTTTTGGTCTAAACCTTTTTCTCTTTGAAAATGAATTTTTGGGATATTATATTTTGAAGTGGGCTGCAAAAGTTAAAAAGAAAGAAAGAAACAAAAGCCCAAGTGAGGGATGTAAGTGAGACTTTTCAAAATTCAAGAGTGCCAAGTGGCACTGTTAGAAACCTCAAGGGAGGTTTCTGAAGTTATCCCTTCTATCTTTACATACTTTGTCCAGCTTCAAGCAGCCTTGAGTTTCCGTTGCCATCTCCGCCCTCGAGTCTGCCTTTCGTCCTCCTTTGCTCCCGCTCCTCTCCAAATTCCACCACCACCAGCCGCCGTGCATATGATGTGAAAGCCTCCTCGTCCTCTTTGCCCTTTTAATTTTCCTTCTCCTTCTCTTGAATCACTGCCACCCAATTGCTGTTTAGTGAAGGGTCTTCAAAGAGAGAATTTTGGGTTAAAGGTTGATTTGTTATGGCTGTCTTTCTGTGCAATTCCCAAGTCGATTTCAATAGCTGAATTGGAAAGGTGAGTTCTGAAATTTCTCATTCGACCACCACTCAGCATCCACTTAGTATTATGCTAAAAAGATCAAAGCATTTGCCTCATCCTCGTCGAAAAACCCAATCTTTACCCTTCAAGAATGTAGTTTCTGCAATTTTGATTAGTGGGATTTGCAGTAATAGTACCAATAATATTGCCAAAGCTGCAGCTTCAGAATCTGAAAATGAATGGGAAAGTTTGCTCAAACCATTTGACCTCAAACAGCTTAAGAAAGTACTCAGTAAAATTACCCCTTATCAGCTTAGCAAGTTTCTGGCTCTTCCTTTGGATGTGCCCACATCCTTGGAGCTATTTCGGAAGGCTAGTGCCCAGAAAGGCTATTGTCACACTTTTGATGTGTACTATACTTTGATTGATAAACTTGGTGCTGCTAAGGAGTTTAAGGCTTTAGATAAACTGTTATTGCAGATGAAGGAGGATGGGATAGTTTTCAGGGAGTCCCTCTTCATTATGATCATGAAGCATTACGGTAGAGCTGGTTTACCTGGTCAAGCCACTAGGTTGCTTTTGGATATGAGGAAGATATTTTCTTGCGAACCAACGTTTAAATCGTATAGTGCTGTGTTGGGAATTCTAGTGGATGGTAATTGTCCTAAAGTTGCTGTTAATGTCTTTTATGAAATGCTTAACAAAGGTGTCTCCCCTAGCGTTTCATGTTTCGCCAGAGTAATAAAAGCGCTATGCATGATTAATGAAGTGGATTCTGGGTGTTCACTTCTGAGAGACATGACGAAACATGGGTGTGTGCCCAATTCTATAGTTTACCAGACATTGATTCATGCACTTTCCAAGGCCAATAGAGTAGGTGATGCCTTGAGGCTTTTGGAGGAGATGTTTCTTATGGGCTGTATACCAGATACCAATACTTTCAATGATGTTGTAACTGGCCTTTGCCATTCCAGTCGAATTCATGAGGCTGCCAAATTGGTTGATCGAATGCTTGCTCGGGGTTTTGCCCCTGATGCTATAACGTATGGAGTTTTGATGCATGGTTTTTGCAGAACAGATCAAATAGATGAAGCCAGGGCCCTGCTATACAGAGTGCCCAATCCCAATATTGTTCTGTTTAACATTTTGATCAAGGGATTTGTGGCCTCTGGTCGTTTTGATGAAGCAACAGCTCTTATCAGGGAGGGCCTGATGAATGTTGGCTTGCAGCCGGATATTTATACATATAACATCTTGATTCATGGCCTTTGCCAAAAGGGTTGTTTGGTGTCAGCTTGTGAAGTTCTTGAGGAGATGTCAATCAAGGGTTGTAAGCCCAATGTGATCACATATACTATTCTGATTGGGGGATACTGTAATGAAGGACGTTTAGAGGAGGCTAATGAACTTTTGATTGAGATGTCATCGCAAGGTCTTAGTTTAAATGTAGTCGGATATAACTGTCTTGTCTCTGCTTTGTGCAAGGATGGAAAGATCCAGGAGGCATTAGAAACTTTTGGTGATATGTCAAGAAATGGATATAAACCAGATATATTTACATTCAACTCTTTAATATTTGGGTTTTGCGTGGTTGATAAGATGGAAGAGGCACTTAGCATGTATCGTGATATGTTGCTTGAGGGGGTTATTGCCAATACTGTTACCTACAACACATTGATACATGCTTTCCTGAAAAAAGGTGCAATCCACGAGGCCCTTAAGCTTGTAAATGATATGTTGTTTAGAGGATGTGCCCCTGATGAGTACACATATAGTAGCCTTCTACATGCACTGTGCAAAGATGGTGCTGTTGAGAAAGCATTGGGACTTTTTGAGGAAATTTTGAGAAAGGGAGTCTATCCTAATAACATATCCTGCAACATTTTAATCAATGGCTTGTGCAAAATTGGCAAGGTACAAAAGGCACTTGAATTTTTAAGAGAGATGATTCATCGTGGATTGACACCTGATATAGTTGCATACAACACTTTGTTAAATGGTCTATGTAAGTTGGGTTGTGTTCGAGAAGCAACAAGCCTTTTTGATAAATTGCAGTTTGAAGGCATTAGTCCGGATCCCATCACGTATAACACTCTTATAAGTTCCTATTGTAGAATGGGCATGCTTAATGATGCCCATATGCTCTTAAATAGAGGCGTGGCCTGTGGATTTATACCTAATGAGGTGACATGGCATATCTTAGTCAGGAACTTTGTGAAAAAGGGTACACAAGAGAATCAAACATTTTCTGGATATTCCAACTGTTTATTTTAGTACTCATTATGTGAATGTTCTTGTGGGGAATCCATTATGAAATTCTTTTGCTTTGCTGAAAAAACCATTATAATTATTGGGATTGTTTTAGCAATCCCAGTTGTTTAAGGAAGCCATATAGCATACATTGGAAACAATCCCAGTTGTTTGAGAAAGTCATATAGCATAGATTGGATAGATGCATATATACTTTAGTCAACTTTAACTAGGTTTGCATCCATTGAAGTTTTAGCTGCAATCTGTTGAAATGCTCAATGCGGCTTCAGACCTGACTGTTGTATGGGCACAGGGTTCGAAACCTGCACTTCTTCAAATTATAACTATATAAAAAGCATCATGGTTTGCTACCATAACATGGACTGATTATACGGTAATTTCAAGTAACTCTGGTGGCTTTTGTATTAGACTGAGTTTGCCTATAAAGACAGTTGTTGTTGTAACTGTTGTTCCTTTAGTTCCTGCAGTGAGTGGCCGGTGCAAGAAGGTCTGTTGGAACTGCTGACTGATTGCTGCTTTTGAGAGAGCTTGCTTACCAGATCAGTTAGGCCAAAGAGTTTTGTGCGAACTACAGATTCTGGAGATTTACCCGGATACTTAAACTCTGTGGTGAGAATATAAGTTTCTTGATTTTTGCTTCACCTCCAGCTTACATGTGTGTATGAATTGTTTACATGCATGTATAAATTTACATGTATAATTGATTAGATTCAGGCAGAGCATATGACTGGCATATGCACATGAATTATTGGCTTTGGTCTTATTAATTCATTACTGACAGTTGAGGGTTGCATGGTTATGAATTGCTTTTTTTTTTGTGGCTCTTGATGCATTTGCTTATATAATTGAGTATTGTGTTTGACATAAACAAGTGAGGCCAGAGGTTTGCCGTGCATATCCACATGAATTATTGGTTTTGCGCTTATGAATTTGTTACTCACAATTGAGGTTTCATTTACTTGATTTGCTTGTTCTGCTTTTGATGCCTTCCGTATTATAATTGAGGCCTGTATTTGACATGAACAAGTGAGGTTAGTGGTTTCTGTTGAGTTACAATTGTGATAAATGATAATGAAAGCTTAGGTCTGGTTCTTTTGGAAGGTAAATTCTTCACTCTATCTCTGCCCTGATCGTATATTTTTGCTGTACTGTAGTTCTGTTGCTGCATGCAGATTGACTGTGGGTGTTGAATTTATTGATCTGTCAATAAGATTCTGTGTGTGCAGTTGATTAAAGTTATGCATACCACATGATTTATATATTTACAAGGCTCATTTGACCGATTGCTGTGAATTTTTGTATGATATTCAGGGCTGGTCTCCTTTGATCAATACTAGATCAATGCTAGATGGTTGAAAGCAGTTAAGAGTTATCCATGTTACCAGCTATACTTGGTCTTCCTACAACTGATCTGAAATTAAACTGAAGAATGGTAAACCAAACTTATAACTGGGATTCAGGGAATCAGATTTGTGTGCATGTTGACTGAACTATAATTACATTACGGTGCAAGAAAAACAGCTAGACTTATTTCTCTGAACGAGAAGGTCAACTTTCTAATCTTGTTTCGTTTCTTTACTTTTGTATATCCAAATTCGCAAATGTATTGGTTTATCTTAACATGGGGTAATTGATAGTTTGTTGATATGTGTCTCAATGATGGACATTCTATCAAATCTGATTTATAAAGGCAGTATTAGATGTAGATGGATTACAGTTAAGCATCTAATTCATCCTTTTCTCTGAAGTCTATTTGACTTAGAACATAGAAGCTACTTTGCAGAATCCTGAAGCAAAAAGAAACATGTGAAAGGGTGTTTATAGTATTCATCAGGGTGAAAGTTTAAAAGAGGTGTGGGTTGCCTACAGGATTTTGAGTTCTTAAATTTCTCTGATTATATAACAAATGGAGCAGTAACACGTGTTGCGATGCTTCACTTCATAAAGCAACCAGCTGAAGACGAATGCTTCACTTCAGCCAACTCCTAATCCAGCAAAGCACCATGTGGAGGGTGATATGTCAAAGCCTTCTTGCACCTCAACCTCTAGAATTCTCTCATTACTTCCGTGATTTCATCTCTTTCCCATCTTACATATGTCTCTTCCTCTGCCTCTGTTGGCTAATCACTACCAGCGTCACTGCTGCCACCACCACTGAAGAATAAACTCAAATAAAGAAAAACACAGCTCTCCAACCTCAGTCACCTCCAAAACCACCACCACCACCACCACCACTGAAGAATAAACCCTAAATTAGCTGCTAACTATCGAACAAAGCTTGTGCTGAGAAATGAGATTGCTACAATAGAATTTAGACCATATATAATTTATTTGTTGAGTAATTTGGTATTTGGATCATTTAGTCATCATGCATTGATGCCTTTCTCTACAGACTCAGTTAGAGACATGATGAAGAATCCACTGTGTTTGGTCCAGTTCCACAGTTTCCACTTTCTGCCCCACTCTATCCGTCGTCAACTATTATCCATCAATCACTGACGAACAAACTGTTTAAAGTTCCTCGCCTAATTCTCCACAAAGCTTTCAGATCGCAAATCCTCCTCTTCTTGCATTCGTAACTGGTAGGCTTTCTCTTGATTAATCTTGTATTATATAAGATTTTGACAAATTTTGAAGTAGATGAGACATGTCATTATTTTAGTATTGTACTTTTTCCTCTTTGCATAGCTACTATGTTTTGCTTTTTCTGATTATTTGCATTTTTAGCACTTACTTTTCTTTCTTCCGAGTGTGTTTCCTGAAATGCATGTTGCAGTTGAAACCTTCTTCAAAAGTAAGCTCTTCTCATCATTTTTTATCTGTCATATGAGGGTGATGAATCCATGAAGCTATCTATGATGTAGGTCTTTCAATTTCTTCAGACTTTTGCCACCTTTTTTTAATCTTTTCCATCAAATATTTCAGATAGTTACAATGCTGAACAAAAATTCAAGTATAATAGGATGGAACATTCATGAGATTTTGACTTGCAGGCATGATATATTATGTAGGTTAAACTTCTTTTTCTTTGTCGATGACTTATATTTGCTTATATAATTGAATGAGGTGCACTTTCTTATTGAAGATATTAAGCTTTTGCAGGACTAGTGAGACTACAAAAATCAAATGTTTTTCCTTTGCTTCACTGATCTTTTTCTTAGTGGAGAACGTCATTTCTTCTCTTCTCCTTGGTGCACTTTATTGGAGATGAGTTATTAAAAGTGAGATTGTGACGCCCCTACTTCTCCCAAGAGCGAATCCGAGCGTATCGGCGGGACGCCTGCTTAACTCGCGTTAGGACTCAAAAACACAGAACAATAAAAACTAGATAAATCAAAAGAGTACTATTCACAATATATACAACCCCAAAAGAGTTCTATTTACATCTTCAAAAGGAGTTATCCAGACTACTACATTATCCTATGCTAGTAATCAAAAGTAGAAAGTAGACCCAAAGAGGGGTCCTTATTCAGATCATCAAAACAAGAAGAAACATCTTAATTGTTTGGCTATTATAAACCAAGCCTAACTATTTTAGTGATAAGTTTCCCGCATCGGCACCTGTTAAGGAAAACCAAGGGAAAGGGGTAAGTTATATGCTTAGTAAGTAAACAGGGGTAAAAACGTAAGGTTCACATTAAAACGAACAATTACGTCACAAAGATGTCAAATCGAAAATATAAAAGTAACAACACAAGTTAAGAATACAGGTTGGCTCCAAAGTCACGTCATGTGCCATGTATGACCTCCTGTCGACCACCGATAAGGGTTTGTAGAACTGCACTTGTACTCCCACTTAACACCTTATCGTCCTTACTGGTCAGTTATCTCATGAAATGGCTCGAGCAAACGAAACGAAATTGAACTTGATTCACAAGTTCGGTTCACAAACTTGGTTCACAGAACCACAAACTTAGTGACCTTAATACTAGGTTGGACTGATTTCGACCAAACCCTGGCCGGCTCGAATAGTCCGTCTAGGTCTTGAGATCGGGTCCCACAAAAGTCACATCGAACTACAAGTTCAAGGGGTTCAACACCAAAATAATTCATATATACACATCTCATAAAGAAGCACAAGTGCAAATTAGGGTTTAGGTCGAGTGTGATCAAGTACACCATCGCCTAAGTACCCTCTCATCCACATGAAAGCACATAAGCAAGTTATGCACAAAAACGACTTGAATACTTACACAAAATACAAAGATAGCACAAGGGCGAAAATCACTTCGCATGTGATAGCTAGTAGGCCTCACTGGCTCCGTCTAGCTCGCCACCGTCTGTAATAGAAGGTTGCACCACATTATTACACAAACCACTACTAAAGTGCGTATATCAAGTAAAACGGCAAAATGGGCACATGCACGCGCGGAAACGGCCGGCAAACGGAAACGGGTAGATTTGGCACCTAGAACTGTTTTGATCAATTTTCAAGCTACGGTTATCGGATCGAAGTGCATGAGGTACCGTTGCGAAGCTAAGAAGAAGGGCTACAACTTTCATGAAGACACCTCAAGCCAGATCTTAATGGGACTAGGACAAAAATGCACAAGACAGTCCCAGCCGTTTCAATTCAGGTTACCGAGCAGGCCCTGTTTGAACGACTATAACTCATGACTCAGAGATCGGAATCAAGAAATTCCAGAGGCGTTGGAAAGTTCATTTCTAAGGCTATAACTTTTGTGTTTTGACCAAAAGTTGAATCAGTACAGAGTATAGGGAAAAACGGGTCCAAAGTTCCTGTCAGAACTGTCCAACTTCAAAGGCAATTCTGACACCCGATTTTGTTTTGGGTATAACTAGAGTTACGGAACTCGGATTTGGACGCACTTTATACCGTTTTGAAACTGAAACAAAAAACTTTATACGCACTTTATACCATTTCTAATTCTTTGACTAAGTTTATATCATAAGATTTGTTAGATAATCCTAAGAAATAAACAAAACAAAAACCAAAAGGAGAAAGAGGGAGAGAGGGCCGAAACTTGAAGCTTGAGAGGAGAAGAAAAATTTCAGTTTCAAAACGGTATAAAGTGCGTTCAAATCCGAGTTCCGTAATTTTAGTTATACCAAAAAAAAAATCGGGTGTCAGAACTGCTTTTGAAGTTGGATAGTTCTGACAAGAAGTTTGGACCCGTTTTTCCCTATGCTCTGTACTGATTCAACTTTTGGATAAAACACAAAAGTTATAGCCTTATAAATGAGCTTTCCAAAGCCTTTTGAATTTCTTGATTCCGATCTCTGAGTCATGAGTTATAGTCGTTCAAACAGGACCTGCTCGGTAACCTGAATTGAAACGGCTGGAACTGTCTTGTGCATTTTTGTCCTAGTCCCAATGAGATCTGGCTTGAGGTGTATTCATGAAAGTTGTAGCCCTTCTTCTTAGCTTCACAACGGTACCTCATGTACTTCGATCCGATAATCGTAGCCTGAAAATTGATCGAAACAGTTCTAAGTGCCAAATCTGTCCATTTCCGTTTGCCGGCCGTTCCTGTTTTCGTTTGCCATTTCCGCGCGTGCATGTGCCCGTTTTGCCGCTTTGCTTGATTTATGCACTTTAGTAGTGGTTTGTGTAATAATGTGGTGCAACCTTCTATTACAGACGGTGGCGAGTTAGACGGAGCCGGTGGGGCCTACTAGCTATCACACGCGAAGTGATTTTCGCCCTTGTGCTATCTTTGTGTTTTGTGTAAGTATTCAGACCGTTTTTGTGTATAACTTGCTTATGTGCTTTCGTGTGGATGAGAGGGTACTTAGGCGAGGGTGTAATTGATCACACTCAACCTAAACCCTAATTTGCACTTGTGCTTCTTTATGAAATGTGTATATATGAATTATTTTGGTGTTGAATCCCTTGAACTTGTAGTTTGGGGTGACTTTTATGAGTCCCGATTTCAAGATCTAAACGGACTATTCGAGCCGGCCGGGGTTTGGTCGAAATCAGTCCAACCTAGTCTTAAGGTCACCAAGTTTGTGGTTCTGTGAACCGAGCTTGTGAATCAAGTTCAATTTCGTTTCGTTTGCTCAAGCCATTTCGTGAGGTGACAGGCCAGTGAGGGTGATAAGGTGTTAGGTGTGAGTACAAGTGGAGTTCTACGGACCCTTATCGGTGGTCGACGGAGTGTCAACAGGAGGTCATACATGGCACATGACGTGGCTTTGGAGCTAACCTGTATTCTTAACTTGTGTTGTTACTTTTATATTTTCGATTTGACATCTTTGTGACGTAATTATTCATCTTAATGTGAACCTTACGTTTTTACCCCTGTTTACTTACTAAGCATATAACTTACCCCTTTCCCTTGGTTTTCCTTAACAGGGGCTGACGCGTGGAATAATTGGCACTATCACTAGAATAATTAGGCAAACAACTAAGATGTTTTTTCTTGTTTTGGTGATCTGAATAAGGACCCCTCTTTGGATCTACTTTCTACTTTTGATTACTAGCATAGGACAATGTAGTAGTTTAGATAACTCTTTTTGAGGATGTAAATAGAACTTTTTTGGGGTTGTATATATTGTGAATAGTACTCTTTTGATTTATCTAGTTTTTGTTGCTTTGTCTTTTTGAGTCCTGGCGTGGGGGCGTCACAGGTGGTATCAGAGCGCCTAGGTTAGAGGATTTGAGTAATTGGGACATACATGATAGGCATTAGGAATATGTGATTCTATTTAAGATGAATGATATATTTTAAGCTGAAATATCGAAGAACTGACCAAATAATGTTTTGTAGGTATGGAGGCCGGAGAACCTAGTGGATCGGGACCTGAACCGAGACCTCTAAGTGCAGGGGGCCCGGTGAACCAGGTATTACGCCGGCGTGTGCTTCGATATCAGAAAAGGTTTGGGGGGCCGTATACGTTGTGCTCACCTTTTTGCCAAATGGACCGGCCATGTGAGTGTCGATACATATTCGGTTATCCCGAAGAGGTCGTCCTAGCAGTGGACGACGAGCGACGTCGCCTGAGGAAGGCGGCTGATCGTTTGGCTAGACAGCTGGAGGAGGTTAGAGAAATTGCCCACGAGCAGGCTATGCACATTAGGGATTTGGAGCAGGGCCTCCGAGTTGAGGTGGAAAGGACGGACGCTATTCGTCGTCAGCTCTATGACACACACCAGCACCTCTTCGCTATGAAGGGGCAACTGAGGGAGAGGGCTCGGGTATCATGCTGGACTGTGATGTCCTGTTAGATGTGGCCGCGGAGGCACTACCACGAGCTACCGGCCCAGAGCTGATGGACGAGATGAACACTTTTGGTTCCGTTGGGGATTGGGGCCATAGGGAAGGCGCGTAGGGCCGTTGTTGGGATTTCCTTTTGACTATCTGGCATGTTTGTTTTTGTTATAACCAGTATGCCTGGTTTCTTTTGTTATCTGATGGTTGACTATATTTTTGGAGCCGAAGTGCTAATGTAAATAATGGGTTTTGTACCGACCAGATGTCAGATAACTTGTATATCTTTTAGTGTGACTTTGTAAATATATGTATATATTTGAATATAATCTTTTGAATTTATATTTTGCGTGTCTTTTGTGCATATGCTTTGTGTTTTTTATTTTGTTCATAGTTTGAATAATAAGTACACGTTAAGTTTCGATTTATAGACTTTTGAACCTAAATGGACTCCGATAGTCGAGATAGAGGTAGAAGGTGAGGACGAAACCCCGAAGGAGAAAATGAGAACGAGCCGGATCAGGTAGCCTGAGTTATTGTCGTTTACGCATAGTGCTGTTAACTAGCCCGAATGTGAGATTCTGGTTCTGTAATTTGAAATTTTGACCTGGATACACTACGAACTGGACTGAGTGGTCTTCATCAAAGTTGTAGGCCTTTATCTTAGTTTCGAAACGGTATAAATAACACCTTAATCCGATAAGTGTATCTTCGGTTGTGTCCGTTACGCAAAACAACGTCAAATCTGTCTTTTGTTTATTAACTCAAACTTCATTTTCGGACATTTTCCTAGGTTGATTTTGTACTTGTACGACATTGAGCCGATTGAACAGCTATTGAAATGGGATGATTTTGTGTGTGATTTTGGGACGGATTGAGAAAAAGAATGAAGCCATAAATGGCTGAAAAATAGGTAAATACGAAGGGCATGCTGCCCAAATTTGCACTCGAGAACTAGGTAAGGATTTGATAACGAATACCACTTGAACCATCTAGGATATTTACGTCTTCTCTTATTAAGGTATATAAGTTAGAATTCGACCGGAACTTGTACCCTTGGAAAAATGAAATTTTCAACTAATAGAAATACATTTTCTTTGTTATTTCGACTCAAATGAAGATTTTAAAGTTTTACGAGTGAGCATAAGTTTTACAAATATTTTACTTATGTCATTTGGTTTAAATATACTCTTTTCACTACCAAAACCCTATTTATACTTTGTACTAGTACGTATTCGCATTTTCTTTGAATCACTTAAATCTTTGATGGTTGAAGCATAATGTGTTCTTTTGATTATATTAGGGTTCCTTGGTGATTAAGGGTGTTATCCGGAAGGATACTTTGGACGTTATTTTGTGTAAATAGGTGAGTGTTCTTTGTTTGATATGTTTCCATGAAATATATGATTTGTTGTGGATATTTGATTAAATGATAAATGTTTGTTACAAATGAAGTTTCCTAGGCGAGTGTGTACTTTATCGCACTCAACCTGAATGAATGTGAAATTTTCTATGATTAAATGATTAAATGCTAGTTGCGCATGAATGTTAGCCGTTTGGTTGAACTGGACCCTTGCCCTTCGTTGCCGGTCAACTCGAGTCAGAAGCGGACTCGGTCGGGCGATTTGGTGACCCTGGGTGAAAGTTTGGTATACTCGAGTATTACCACGTTGTCGGGTGGAGTCTGGCTAATGTCCAGAAGGGAGAAGATTGAAATGAATGAACGAGTGACAATGTCAGTGGAGGGGTTTTCGTGTACAAATTGCATTTTAAAATGATTGGAGGAATAAGGAAATGAAAGGTGAATGAAGGAACGAAAGGCTCCATGTGAGGATGTATCCTTTTAATGAATGTGTTACCATTGTTTTATATTGTTAATGTTTCTTGAATTACGTGTTGTTACATGACTAATGTTCTTGTTTAAGTTGATTATGTGTCTGGAATCTCACTGAACTTTTAGCTCATTCCGTTAATTTTGTTTTCCTTACAAAGGATGCGAGTAAGGGCGAAAGACCTATATAGAATAACATCGTCTAGTCCTTTTGAAATTGTCCATTTGTACCCGCTCTAGTGTTTGATTAGGGTTGGAAGTATTGGAACTTAAATCTTTTGTTATATTTGGGTTGTATTTTTTTGCGAGGAAGAAATGAATATAAGTATGCGTTTCAACTTTGGGAATTGGTTTTGTTTTACTTTTTCTCGAGGTTTTATCTTATTTTGTTGAAGTAAATGAAAGAGTCCCGGCGAGAGTTGGGCAGAGCGGCCGCTGAACCCTTTGGTTCGCCTTAGGGGGAGGTGGGGCCGTCACAGTTAGTCCTTAAGCGAACACACCATTTAAATTTGAAGCATAAGCTATAAGCTATGAACCAAGTATCCGCACTATGCTTATTATAGCAACTACTAATAATGTGGTGCAAAAACTTGTGACGGCCCCACCTCCCCCAAGGCGAACCAAAGGGTTCGGCGGCCGCCTGCCCAACTCTCGCCGGGACTCGTTCATTTACTTCAACAAAATAAGATAAAACCTCGAAGAAAAGTAAAACAAAACCAATTCCCAAAATTGAAACTCATACTTATATTCATTTCTTCCTAGTGCATACTTATACTCGAGTCAGAAGCGGGTACAAAGTTGAAACGCATACTTATAATCAAGCACTAGAGCGGGTACAAATGAAAAATTTCAAAAGGACTAGACGATGCTATTCTATATAGGTCTTTTGCCCTTGCTCGCATCCCCTGTAAGGAAAACAAAACTAACGGAATGAGTTAAAAGCCCAGTGAGGTTCCAGACACATAATCAACTTAAACAAGAACATTAGTCATGTAACAACACGTAATTCAGGAAACATTAACAATATAAAACAATGGTAACGCATTCATTAAAAGGATACATGCTCACATGGAGCCTTTCGTTCCTTCATTCACCTTTCATTTCCTTATTCCTCTAATCATTTTAAAATGCAATTTGTACGTGAAAACCCTTCCGAGTATACCAAACTTTTACCCAGGGTCACCAAATCGAGTATACCAAACTTTTACCCAGGGTCACCAAATCGCCCGACCGAGTCCGCTTCTGGCTCTAGTCGACCGGCAACGAAGGGCAAGGGCCCAGTTCAGCCAAACGGCTTACATTCATGCACAACTAACGTTTAATCATTGAAAATTTCACATTCATTTAGGTCGAGTGCGATAAAGTACACACTCGCCTAGCAAAATTCATTTGTAACAAATATTTATCATTTAATCAAATATCCACAACAAATCATATATTTCATGGAAACATATCAAACAAAGAACACTCACATATTTACGCAAAATAACGTCCAAAGTATCCTTCCGGATAACACCCTCAATCACCAAGGAACTCTAATATAATCAAAAGAACACATTATACTTCAACCATCAAAGATTTAAGTGATTCAAAGAAAATTCGAATACGTACTAGTACAAAGTATAATAGGGTTTTGGTAGTGAAAAGAGTACATTTAAACCAAAGGATATAAGTAAAATATTTGTAAAACTTAGTCTCACTCGTCAAACTTTAAAATCTCCATTTGAGTCGAAGTGACAAAGAAAACGTATTTCTATTAGTCGAAAATTTCATTTTTCCAAGGGTACAAGTTTCGACCGAATTCTAATTTATATGCCTTAATAATAGAATACGTAAATATCCTAGATGGTTCAAGTGGTATTCGTCCTCAAATCCTTACCTAGTTCTTGAGTGCAAATTTGGGCAGCATGCCCTTCGTATTTACCTATTTTTCAGCCATTTATGACTTCATTCTTTTTCTCAATCCGTCCCAAAATCACACACAAAATCATCCCATTTCAATAGCCGTTCAATAGGCTCAATGTTGTATAAGTACAAAATCAATCTAGGAAAATGTCCGGAAATGAAGTTTGAGTTAAGAAACAAAAGACAGATTTGACGTTGTTTTGCGTAACGGACACAACCGAAGATACACTTATCGGATTAGGGTGCAATTTATAATGTTTCGAAACTAAGATAAAGGCCTACAACTTTGATGAAGACCACTCAGTCCAGTTAGTAGTGTATCCATGTCAAAATTTCAAATTACTGAACCAAAATCTCACCCGAAAATTTTCCCATTTTCTAGACCTTATTTTATTTTTGCCTACATTTTTATACTTGCCTTTACAATATTAAAGTTTCTATGCATTTTTATAAGCAAGTACAGTTTTAAATCATTTTCCTAGTATGAGTTAGTGTACGTTAAATTTGAAACGCATTATAGACGTGGGACCCGCTAGTGCGATAAATTTTGGTGATTAAGAGTGAGTTTTAGATTATATTAAGAATATGATTAGAAGTGATAATAATAAGGTAGTGAATTACAAGTTAAAACCCTAGTATATGCGATTTAGGGAAAATCAGTTCAAACCGACGAGTGCCGTTCACTACCGATTGAACACACAATTTTTATCAAGTTAATCTCTTTGATATTAGAGCTTAAATATCAGCTCAAAATCTGATCTTGAGGGCCGAAATTTTTGACTTGGAAAACAAGAGAAAAGAAAAAAAATTTGGATTAACCAAAGTGTGACACTTGTTGGTTACTTAGAGACCTTTGACCAAGCCAATTTTCTTTACTTCTTATTTTCACTTTGGCTCCATTTCTTCACCATTTTTCCTTGGTTTGGCCGAGAGCAAGAAAGGGAGAAAGAGTGAAGAGAGCTTTCCATTTCAACCTTGAATCAAGCCTTGTGAGTGAAAATAAGAACAACTAAACCGATTAACTTGTAAATTGGAAGCTTGGGAAGCTTAGGGAACTAAAAATTTTAAGGGGAAGTGAAGGAGAACACTAGCAAGCTCTGGTTTTGAGGTAAAATGGCTGACGACTCTTTTCTTTTCCCTTAATCATGTTGGAGTTGTTTAGTATTTGTGATTGTGATGCTTAAATCAAGGGAATTTGGATGATTGGGGTGATGCATTTGAGTTACAGTTTGAATGATTCCCTTCTCATACTTGTTGTATGGATGGTATATGATGTATATAAGCTTGTATATGAGGTGGTAGTGATGGTTTTAAACTAGAAATGTGAATTGTACTTTGACTTCCTAAATTTCCAGAATTTAATTTCTTGCATACCCTGTTCTGCCCGGTTCTAGTTCACCATGTTAAAGGCTGAATTATGCTTAACCTAAAACATAAAAGTTGTAGAGAATGATGTTTTATAGTTGCCTGCAAAATTTCATCTCAATCGGAGCAACGTAGCCTATGAAAAGACCGAAATACCCTGACTGCCCTTGGTGACTCCAGTGATCAATTTTGGATATTTCACCAATCTAGTCGTGTCTTTTCACCATGATATGTACTGAACTAGTATTTATCCAAAACATGAA